ACTCCCACTGACCACCAAGCCTGAGACATTTACTCCACTGACGTTGGGTATTTTCTGTTCTCACTGGCCAGAGTTTGGCCCTTAATGTATGAAGGACAGTAAACTGGCCCTTTGTTTAGAACATTTAGAGACCCCTGCTTTACTGCATAACATGCACTGTATATACCTAAGTATAGATGTTTATTCTCAGTTCCACTTTTTCAACCTATCACTGCTTGTTTCTTGAGTCAAGAAAAGTATATTTTGAAGATATCAATATAGACCTGGAAAATATGTTTCCTGCATCATGTTTTACAGTACCTGTTTGCTATTGGTAGCGTGTCTCATTTCACTGTGATTTTAGGCAGTATGTCTGGCAAGCTAACTCCTACAATTTTGTGTAATTGCTGCCTGCATCTTAGGGCAATTGCAGTGCTGAACTCTTTATCCACAAAATGTTTGCAGATAACTGCAAAGACATTTGGAGGAAAAAAAAGGATGTTGTTGTTCTCCTTTACTTATTTCTGTACTTGTTTGGCTGGTAGGTCATGGATGTCCATTCCCCTTACTGAATGGCTGGGAGAGGATTTACCTCTTCTATGTGTTCCAGTATGAAAAAACAGTACCCACAGCAATTCCATCTGTCTCCAACTGTGTCCTGAGCCACGCTGAACTTTCAGTTGCCCAGAAACTCACAAAAACACAAGCTCAAACACATACAAACCATTTGTCACCCTTCCAAGATAAGAAGAAACACCTGTCAAGAAACACCTTGTAGCCCAAAATATTTAGGCGGTGGACACAAGGGTAAACCTCTGATCAAGTGGACCAAGATACAAAATAACCCTGCCACTTTATAAAACTCTGGTTTGGCCACATCTGGAGTATGCTGTCCAGTTCCGGTTACCAGTCCTCAGGAAGGATGTGCTGGGAGTGGAGAGGGTCGAACGCAAATGACTGAAAACATTAAACGTATTCTCTCTGGGGAAAAGACGCTTGAGAGGAGATATGAAAGCAATATACAAATACCTCAATGGTGATTCTAGCATAAAGAATAAACTATTCTGTCTCAGGGAGTATAAGAGGACACAGAACCACTCAATGAAATTGGAGGAGAAGCTGTTTACCCTTAAATCAGGTAGGGTATTTTCACTGTCAGAGTGGTAAGTGTGTGGAACTTCTTTCCACAATCGGTGGTGTCAGCAGGAAGTATTAATAGTTTAAAAAAACCTCTTAGATGGGCATCTTAGTGAATACAATATACAGGGATTTGGGATATGATTTTTGACATGAGCACACCCACATCCTATAAGTCGCTGATCAGTGCCATTACCAGTATGAAAAATTAAAATAAATAAAAATTCCAGTACATGTACCATAATTTATAGATGCTATATTTTTTGCACAAACCAATCAATATGCACTTATTGGGATTATTTTTTTTTTTACCAAAGACGTAGCAGAATACACTTTGGCCTAATTTATGAAGAAGATTAGATTTTTTTAAATTTTTTTTATTGGACATGTTTTATACCAGAAAGTAGAAAATATTGTGTTTTCCAACTATAAGTCGCTGATCAGCAGCACCATTACCAGTATAAAAAAATAAATTATTTTTTATTATTCAGGATTTATATAGCTCCAACAGTTTATGCAGCGCTTTACAAAATGAAGGCAGACATTACAGTTACAATACAATTTGGTACAAGAGGAAACAGAGCGCCCGGCTCGTTAGAGCTCACAATCTAGGAGGAAGGGTTGAGTGATACAAAAGGTAATAGCTGTGGGGGGATGAGCTGATGGAGGAAATAAATGGCAGTTTACAAGTTAGAAGCAGGATAGGCTTCTTTAAAGAGAAAGGTTTTTTAGGGATCGTCTAATGGTGGATAGATTAGGAGATAGCCGGACAGATTGGGGTAGGGAGTTCCATAGGATGGGAGATGCTCAGGAGAAGTCCTGCAGGCGAGCATGGGAGGAGGTGAGATGGGAACTAGAGAGCAGGAGGTTTTGGGAGGATCAAAGAGAGCGGTTTGGTTGATATTTTGAGACCAGGCTGATGATATAGCTGGAGGCAGAGTTGTGGATGGCTTTGTAAGTTGTTGTTAATATTTTGAAGTGAATTCATTTGGGTGAGTGGAAGCCAGTGGAGGGATTGGCAGAGAGGGGTGGCAGACACTAAACAGTTGGTAAGGTGCATGAGCCTTGCAGCAGTATTCATGATGGACTGGAGGGGGGATAGCCTATGCAAATGTAAGCCAATGAGAAGGGAGTTGCAGTAGTTGAGGCAAGAGCTAACAAGGGATTGAATTAGAAGCTTTGTGGTATCATTGGTTAAAAAGGTTCATATTCTGTAGATGTTGCAGGGGTTGAGGTGGCACGATTTGGACAAGGATTGGAAGTGGGCCTGAAAGGATAGTTCAGAATCCAGGGTTACCCCTAACACCCTGGCATGCAGGAATGGGTTGATAGTGGTGCTGTTGATCCTGACTAAGAAATCAGGAGAAGCGGCACGTGGGGGAGCAAAAATTATGAGCTCAGTTTTAGATAGATTGAGTTTTAGGAAGTGGTGTGACATCCAATCTGATATGTCTTAGTAAATCGGTGATATGTGAGGAAACTGATAAGGTGAGCTGAGGATTAGAGAGATAGATTTGTGTGTCATCAGCATAGGCATGGTATTGGAAACCATGGGAAGATATCAGCTGACCCAAGGAAGAAGTGTAGATCGAGAATAGGAGAGGTCCAAAAGTAGAACCTTGGCGGATCCCAACAATAAGAGGAGTAGGAGGAAGTAGAGTTGTAAGTGACACTGAAGGTGCAGTGAGATAGGTAAGATTTGAACCAACATAGAGTACAGTGACGGAGACCAAATAAATAAAAATTCCAGTATATACTGTATATACCATAGTTTATAGATGCTATAACTTTTGCACAAACCAAAACCAAAACTTACTGTTTTTTTGTTTTTTTGTACCAAAGACATGTAGCAGAATACACTTTGACCTAAAGTTATGGAGAAATTAGATTTTTTTAAAATATTTTTATTTAATGTATTTTATACCAGAAAGTAAAAAATATTTTTTTTTTCAAAATTTTCGGTCTTTTTTCATTTATATAATAAGAAATTAAAAACCCAGTGTTGATCAAATACCACCAAAAGAAAGCTCTATTTGTGTGAAAAAGATATGAATTCAATTTGCTTAGGCCCCTGAGTTTATCTTATAAATAGACAACTAGGTAAAGCCAAAGCAGGAGAGTTTGGCCTGCAGTGTGAGCAGCAAGGGATCCTCATGAATGGGTTAGAAACACTGGCTGTGAGTACCTTAGCTAGAAATATGTTCTAGCAAATGGCTAGAGCTGCATGAGGAAGACTTGTTAAGAAGAGACTTACTGAGCACTGGAATGCCTAAAGAAATTGAAAAATGTTTGTTTCCTGCAAAAGGCTCTGATGAAAAATATTTAATATCGCTATCGTGTTAAAACTCATTTGGAGTAAAGTTTAGGTTTCTTCAGCCAAACCCGACTAGATATTCTTGTATGTGGGCTGGAATATGAACTAAAGTGGGCTCTGTCTGTACTTTTGAGGTGGTGTACCTGGTGTCTAACCTGTCATAGGCTCTGCCTGGGTAACATGGGACTTAGGGTTCCTATAGTGTGTATAGGATGAATCAGCAGAAGCCAGCTCATGCGTGTGTGTCTTTTCTTGAAGGAAGGAGCTCCCTTACAGAGACTGTGCCTGTGTTAGTAGTGAAATTTGGTGTCACAAGTTGAAGTCTCTGACCACCTGTAACTCAGAAGAGTCCTGAAGCTACTGGAAGTGAGACTGTCAGCCCAAACTCTATAGCACATAAGTCAAACACAAGGCCTGTGGGCCAAACCTGGTCCACCAGGCCTTGTCATGTGGTCCTCGAACCCAGTTTTGCAGCCAGAACATAGCAGAAATCCATACTGCCACCTCTAGCTCTCACCCTTCACTTCTGCTCCCCACTGTCATTTGTAAACACAGAAGCCTTCTGTGTGTTCTAGGGACAGCATTGCTCTCAGTAGCTCCTGGAATTAACAGATCCCTGCATGTACTCATGGTGGAGACAGATCTCCAGAATCTGAGAGAGAACGATATCCCTGCAAGGCAAGGCAGAGCTTCCCACACAGGGAGGTACTAGAGCCGGGCCAGGTAGGAGAGAGAGATGCGAGGAAACTTTTGGGGAAGGGGTTGAAGTTACACACTGTGCATAGAGCACCCCTAAACCCTGCACTCTGCACACAGCACACCCCTGAACTCTGCACTTTGTGCATAATGCACCCCTAAACTCTGCACATAACGCACTCCTGATATCTGTGCTCTGTACGCAACATAGTCCTGCACTCTGTATGTAGTGGAATCCTGAACTCTGCACTTTGTACATAATGCATTCCTGAACCCTGTACGCAGTGCACCCTTAAACCCTGTATGGAGAACCCCTGAACTGTACACATAGCGCACTCCTAAACTCTGTACTCTGTACACAGCGTAATCCTGAACTCTGTACATAGAGTAATCCTGAACTCTGTATGTAGTGTAATCCTGAACTCTGTACATAGAGTAATCCTGAACTCTGTATGTAGTGTAATCCTGAACTCTGCACTCTGCATAATGCATTCCTGAACCCTGTACGCAGTGCACGCTTAAACCCTGCATGGAGAACCCCTGAACTGTACACATAGTGCACTCCTAAACTCTGTACTCTGTACACAGCGTAATCCTGAACTCTGTACGTAGTGTAATCCTGAACTCGGTACATAATGTAATCCTGAACTCTGTACGTAGAGTAATCCTGAACTCTGTACGTAGCGTAATCCTGAACTCTGTACGTAGCGTAATCCTGAACTCTGTACGTAGCGTAATCCTGAACTCTGTACGTAGCGTAATCCTGAACTCTGTACGTAGCGTAATCCTGAACTCTGTACGTAGCGTAATCCTGAACTCTGTACGTAGTGTAATCCTGAACTCTGTACGTAGTGTAATCCTGAACTCTGTACGTAGCGTAATCCTGAACTCTGTACGTAGTGTAATCCTGAACTCTGTACGTAGTGTAATCCTGAACTCTGCACTCTGCATAATGCATTCCAGAAGCCTGTATGCAGCGTACCCTTAAACCCTGCATAGAGCACCCCTGAACTCTACACATAACTCACTCCTGAACTCTGTACTCTGTATGCAACGTAATCCTGAACTCTGTACGTAGTGTAATCCTGAACTCTGCACTCTGTATGTAGCCCACCTCAATACAACTGGCCCTTTGAGGGCAGCCATAATGCTAATGCAGCCGGCAATGAAATTGAGTTTGACACCCTTGCTCTATAGGGACCAAGCCAGCCACATGATTTATACTAATCAAAGTGTATGTCCAGCCAAAATGTTTTCTTTCTCTCCTGCTGATAATGATTTACCAGACAGGAATTGAGGGCAACACAAGAACAGCAACAGAAATAAAAATGCTTTTGGTTAGTAGAGTAGGAGAAGGCTAAAACCCTTGTCAGACTTGCAATTCTCTGTGCATTGCTGTTGCATCTTTTCCTTCACTTCCACTCTGGTGAAGTCATTGTCAACTGGACAGAAAGCAAGAAGAAATCTCTCTAATGGAGCTTTTAATAGCAGTAAACCCTGAAATAAGTTTCCAATTCTTTCCCACTCCACCCAAAACTATAATAAAAAAGTTTTTTTGGCTTGACATACTCCTTAACCCAGAGGTGTCCAAACTTTTTTCAAAGAGGGCCAGATTGGATGAAGTGAACATGGTGGAGGGCCGAACATTTTTCCGAACATTCTTTGAACCATTACAATTAAATGCAAATAAATTATTTTATGCCAAGTTAATTGCAAACGACATACTTTTCATTTCATAACATTAAGATCAACTGACAGCTGAGTTTTCACAATGTATTGAAAATAAATTTAAAAAAAAAACTTACCTGCACTAATGTGAAGGGTGAAAAAGGTAGCTGGAGCTGAAGTCTCTGCTCGGCAGCCGGGAGGGGAAGAGAAACACACTTCACGCTGGAAGCCCGGCCCTGACGTCACCACCCTCTGTCGCTCCCAGCGCAGCGCAGTCACGCATGCGCACTGCTCTCAAGCAGAAGACTGTCTGCCACAGAAGGGAGGGCCGTGCGTCAGCCGCATTTACACAGACCAGGGAAAACGCGCCGCAGTCAGGCATGCGCACTGCCCTCTGCTCTCAAGCAGAAGACTGTCTGCCATAGAAGGGAGGGCCGTGGGAGGGCCACATTATACAGAGCAGGGAGGGCTGTTGGAGAGCCGTATTAAACCGACCCCCGGGCCGTAAATGGCCCGCGGGCCGGACTTTGGACATGCCTGCCTTAACCACTTCACTTTTCACACTTGTTTACCCCTATGGACCAGGGCAATTTTTACAATTCTGCTATGGACTTGTTTGTTCAGCAACAACTTTGTCATTACTTATAATAACAAGGTAATACATATATTGCTTTTTAAGGGCAAACAAGGCTTTCTTTTAATTTTCTTGCAACAAATAATATTTTATTTTGCAATCCTTAACAATAAAATGTAACAAAACTAAACAAAAACACACTTTCTCTTTTTTTTTTAACCAGTGTTATGTTTAAAAGAAATATTATTACTTAATGTAAAAAGAGTACATTTTATTCTGCAATTTGTCCTGTTTAAAATGGCACCAATATTATAATTCTGGTACAAAGCATTGCAAAGTTATTTACAGATGAAGTAACACTGTCAGACTTTTTGTTTTAAAGCTGCACTGTGTATAGAGCAGTCATGGCTTTGATAAATCAGAGCCCAGAATTGCTGGGGAGTGAGAGGGGGGGTCCCTGTAGCAGGACAGACAGACTGGACGTGCTACACATGTCCTGTGTACAATGAGTCCTCATGCACATGGGACGTTTTTACAGCTGCTGTTTTTGGCTTTTGACGTTTTTTTTCTACAGCTAGTAAACCCCCCAGCATGTTATCCTATGTGTCCATGCACACATAGATTGTAACCAACGTTTTTGGCAGCGACGTTTTTTGGCTGGGACATTTTTTGGCTGGAAAAAAACCCAGGACTAGTGGGTTTCTAGAGGAGTTTTTTAGCTGTAAAAATGCTTGAATGCTGAAAAATGCGGCAAAATGCTGCAAACCAGCGTTTTTGGACTTTTTTGGACCAAAAAAAGCGCTACAAAATGCAAACACGGGAAACAGACGTATAACGGGGCAAAACAGTGCTAAACACTAATGTAAAAATGCTAAAAACGCTGAAAAACTCACGTTGTTAACGTGTCTTTACACAGCTAGCATTACCAGCGTTATCAAAACACCCCGTGTGCATGGAACCTGATGATGTCCTTTTGGATGTGTATAGCTTGCCAAAAGTCTAGAAGTAGTTAAATGGGAAATCAACTGTATCTGAGCATCACAAACTTTTAATACTCAAAGCAAACTTTCCCAGCCATTTATATCCCCATGCTTTATTTTGTTGAGAAACCACTTTGAAAAACACCACCATGGCATTTCTAGATGTGGTCATCTTAAGTAAGGGAAGATGATTCATATAGGGTTTACTTCCTGCAATCCATCTGCCCTTAGCTCAGGCATGCATGCAGGCAGGAGGGTGTGCTTAGCTGAGAAAGCTCCTCCTCCCCTCCTGCAGATGAAAGAAAAACAAAATGCCCTTGAAGACCCCTGAGATGTACAACATCATTTTTGGCCTAGACCAGAAACAAGGAAGCATCTGTAAAAAATGTTTAAAAAGTTTAAAACAAGTACATATATTGTACCTTCCTATCTATTAAGTATTGCTAGCTTCATAAGGATTTCACATAGTTAATTTTGATTGAGAGAATTTAGTTTTGCTTTAAACACTATGGTGAGTCAGCTAACATATCTTATATCTGTGCACTAAATACACCTGAATACTGCATGTTGGGTACATTCAGTGCTTTAGCATAACTGCATCCATTTTTATATGAAAGAGTATTTTTTTCAAAGTTCATTCACTGGCAAATGCGCCCAAACGCTGGACAAAGACAGCGAGAGCACATTTTGTCTCCAGAACTCTCCTGCACAATTCCCTGTCCTTGTCTGCATGAGGTTTATATGTTTCCCATTCATTGTCTAGATTTTCTATGAATATTCTTGTTCCCTTCTACAGCATAGTGTTCATTTAACTGGCTTCCACCTAAACAATGGCCCCAGATTAAATGTGTCCTTAAAGAAATGTTTGGTTTTTTATAAGACACTGGGTTTCACACCGCTCCGAGACAAGCACAGATGATGGTTCTATGTATCCGAATGTCCTGTGCAATATGTCGTCACTATATATAAAGTATAAGAATCCCAAAGAAATCTTTAACTTTGATAACGGAACAAGTTGATGCACTCGTTTACAAGTCTGTATGTATACATTTTAAAGAAATCCTGCAGTCACTTCCAGATATTCATCAATTGCAGAGTAAGCAGCCTAGTGGGAAATTAAAGATTAAGCAAGCTTTGGAGGAAACCACAGACGCGACAGCTGCCAATTCCAAAATGCAGTATGTCAACAATGGAAATGGAGTGGGCACATGCAGAACGTGTTGTCACCGCTACCAATCAGGAAGAATCTAAAAAAGAAAATTCAAAATAAAATATAAAATTACAATCAAGTCGAATTCAATTCATGATCTACATAAAGCCTGTAATGATAACATTGCAAAAAAGATTGAAAAAGTGAAGCAAGAATTTAGAGATGTGATTCGGAGTTTGTGAATTTGGGAATGCAACCACATAGAAAGACAGAATCTAGAAGGTTGGAATTTGTTAACCTCCTTGGCGGTATGATTATTTCCGATTTTTTTGTGCTGAAAGCGGTACCATTTTTTTGCATGGAAATATGTAGTTTTTTATTGTAGGCTGTAATTTTTAGGAATAACTCACTGAAATCTGTCCGAACAAGAGTCTATTAAACATTCCGGATATGATAAAACTTGAAACACGAAATCATAAATTATAATTTAATAAATAATCATAAAAAATAATAATATAATAATAATAAATTTAATTCAATAATATAATCAAACCAAAAACACTGAAATTTGAAATACAGAGGCAAATTCGCACATCGCTGAGCAAAGTCGCAAAATCATTTTCAGTGTCTGATGACGAATTTTTGCACACATCATTATCACTCAATTCTGCAAGTAGTTCTGATTTACTATCGCTGTTCTGTAGCCGGTCTAAAACTGCTTTTGACATAAAGGGACGCTTTTTGGACGCCATGGACTTTTCTAAGTTTCCAGGCAGAAAGAACAGTCAAAATGCAGGCAGGGCACAGGACAAAGCAGTAGGGACAAAATATATGTGAAATGCATTGAAACAGCAATGTTTTACTATATAATAACCATTTTTAAAAAAATGGAACACAGAGGCCGGAGGAGATGGCCGGGGACGCTGCAGGGGACACATCGCGGGAGCGAAGGACAAGGTAAGTGCTGCAGGGACCCCCTGATCAACGCCGCAGGGTAAGCCCGAGTGTAGCTCGGGGTTACCGCTCTTGGTACTGAAATTTTACCCCGAGCTACACTCGGGAATACCGCTAAAGGAGGTTAAAGGACAAATGCAATTACAACCGTGTTTTGGTAGTTTAACTACTTCCCAACTCTGACATCCCCCTCCTACATTTGAAAATCAGTATTTGTTTTGCTAGATAATTACTTAGAACTTCAAACATTATATATAAATATATATATTTTTTTTTTCCAGAGGCCCTATAAAAAACAAAATATAAAAGATGATGATACACCAAATAACTAGATACCTAACACGTCACACTTTAACATTTTGTACACCCATTGCACAGGGCCAAACTACGGTACCTAAAAATCTCCATAGGCAACGCTTTAAAAGCTTTTACAGGATACCAGTTTAGAGTTACACAGGGGGTCTAGGAATAAGCAACATCCCTTGTAAAAGCATGGGCCATAACAGGTCCTCTTTATGGAGAGAGCTGGGGTCTATTCCCTGCTGAACTAGCCAAGATTCCATCCATCTATGGCTGGCTTTAGCATACAGTTGGGTGGGACCTGTGATGTTCTGACACATAGGGATTGATTTACTAAAGGCAAATAAGCTGTTCAATTTGCAAGACAATTATTCCCAGAGTTTATTGAATGTGGTCAACTTTCACTTTGCAAAGAACACCTAGTCACGTTTAAGAAAAATAATAAAAAAGCATTTTTGCTTGTACATGATTGGATGATGGTAGTCAGCAATGCTCCACCTCATTCAATATGTTCTGGGGAAAATTCCCTCACAAAGTTCATCCTTTCCTTGCTAAGAGCAAAGTTGCTTTGCTTTTAGAAAATCAACTCCATAGTGAAGAATCTCCAGCAGACCCTGACAGATTAAATCCTACTTTCCAAGTGCATGCAATGATTGCT